TCCTAGTCATTCACATACTGTCTTTGGCTGTTGGAAGAATCGAGCAAATGCAACACAGACCATATGGCCTGCAAAGCCAAAACGATTTACCATCTGGCCCTTTACAGAGAAGGCTGGCCAACTCCTGGCTAGATAGTACCATGGGGGGAAAAAAGCACTATAACAACTGTTACCTGGCAGGCTAACACACATAAAAACAAGTATTTTAAAGCCTCAATATTAAACTTCAATTTACTCATCAAGCCCCTTGCTTTGGGAAAAAGTCCCTTTCTTGGTGGCTGTAGCAGACAGAGGCAGAGGTGCCCACCAAACATTCCATCACCCTCCCCACGCTCCAGCGCCTGTGGTGAGGCTGGATACACCACGTCACCAGTGATGGCCCAGAGGGGGAGAGTTGAAGTGACCTGCCAGCTGCCTCCTCCCCTGCCACAGAGATCGAAGCGGTGACGTGTGCCAAAAGGAGCAGCCGGAGACGTGACAGAACCCCTTGCCAACCATAACGGATATGTACATGAGCAAAAAAATAAACCTTTGCTACTCAACACTGAGATTTCAGGGTTAACTTTCCCATAATATGCTCTGGTCTCCTCTGCCTGTGTCTTAGGAAGGTGGCAGAAGGAGCAGTCTTGGTTGTCTCCCCTTCCCCTACAGGGAGCAGAGCTTGGCTGCATGACAATGGAGAAAACCTCGCAGCTCCGCCCTGTTCATCCTCCCACTTCTCACCCTGCTTGAATTCTAAATCACTTGCAAGGCTGCAGTAACACCAGAGCGGTCCCACACAAAACCACTAACACGGCTGATGGAGCGCGAGATTTATTCAGCACAAACCTAATAGCCCGGGCCAAGCTAAAACCCTCCCAAAAGCCACAGAAAAGAAACTGATTATCCTAATGGTGAAGTGGTCAGGGACAGGGTTTCCCTCTTTGGAGACTCATATTCCCTACACATTTTACAAAATTTTTAGTGTGATAACGTGAAAAATGCATGAGTTTTCAAAGAAGCGAAAATGGGCTCCAAGTCCAGCCCTGCCACTTAGCAACCATGTGGTCTTACCTACACTTTACTCCCTGAAAACGCAGTTTTCTGATCTGTAAAGAAGGAAAGTATCAACCTCCACAGATGGGTATAAGGATTCAAATACACGGGGTTTTTAAGCACCAATCCCACAGTCCCCGCACACAGAAGCCTCACTGAACACAGAACAGCACTGACCAGAACGTGGCCTCGCAGGGTCTGTCTCAGTTTCATCTGTGAAATGGGAACAGAAACAGTAGCTACACACAGGGTCACTGTGAGCAAAATGCTAAATCCAGGTCTTGACACACAAATACTAAATAAACTGTAGTTTTTTATTATAATAAATGATTTTTGAAAGTCTTTGATTAATGATTTCAAGTAAAATTTGTTTCGATGGAAGAACTTCAAGGTTGTTTCTGAACAATAATAAAGAGGTACCTAAAGAACAATGAGCCACAAAAAAATCAAATCTGAAATTTCCTACCATTTAAATTACATTTATAAGTTTAATCATTTTTTCCTCTCCGTGTAGAGAGTTGATACAAACTGAGGCTTCAAAAAAGTGTATCAGGAAATGCAAATAATTGGGTTAAATACTCTTGTATTTGTTAAGCTACCTTTCGTGATCCTCACCCAAACAGAATCCCTTCCAAGACCAAGTTTTCATTTTGGCTTCTTCATCCCATCATCCTGACCCTATCTACTATGGATTCTGTCCTCACTTCCTTTAGCTAAATGATCCATAGGAAACTTCTGACTCACGACTCTATCAATGCCCAAGATAATCACTCTAACCATAGGAGAGTCAGTGGCCAACACCCCTTTTCCACTTTTTAGTGTATATTCACTCTAAGAATGACTCTGAAGGGATATTTTTAACTAACTCACATCACCTAATGACACGAGGCAACACCAGTAGTGCCTGACCACTTTGCAGCTGTCTATGATATACCCTAGCATGTCTAGTTAGGGTGACTAGGAGAAGAGCCCTAGAATCATGACAGGACAGTAAGCAGGGATTATCTATGTATACCTTTGAGGTGGCCACAGGACAGTCAACTGAAAACGTCTAGAAAGTAGATGGAAATTTGAGGCCAATCTCTAGAGAGCGGTGAGCAGGGAGATACACTCAGGAAGAAGTAACCTTATCTTAGCCTCCTCTGCATAAGACATTCTCATTCCCAGCCCCCAAACTCATTTTTTTCTCCTCCTTTATAAGCTATATCCCCCTCCCAACTTTCAATCCTTCTTCTAATGACTCTTTTCCAGGTTTAGATAACAAACCCCAGACACAGCCACAGCCACATATAATGAACCACACCCCTACAGCCAACACGATGCATTGCATGTGACTCAAATGTTCCTACAGCGGTCACATACTGTCCTCGTGTACTTGTCTTGTCTCACTAGTTTATGAAGCTTCCCTGAGTTCAGCGTTAGCACATTTAACCCCGTGTTACTTAATAATTTAATAATTCCAAGACTGAAAATGGTATCACAGTGAAATTATTAGTCAGACAGAAAGAAAGGGCTCCCTACGTGGGGGTGGGGATGGGGGGCATGCAGACAAGAGGCCAGTTCTTTCAAGTGACCCTGGACAAGTAGCGAAGATAGTCTTATCTTTTCTAAGCCATACAATCATTGTGTTGGTTTATTCAATCTTATCTTTTCCAATCTATGAAGTTAAGGAATTTGTCTTATGATAGGAGATAACAGGACCAAAAAAAGTCTAAGACAAATTTGCTTCATTTCACCCAGCTGCCTCTAATTTTTGCTACCTTCTCCCATCTCTGGGGCTCAGTGTCTCCATCCGTTGAATAAGGGGCTCAATCTACATGATCTCCAAAGCCATTTCTACTGCAAAAATAGAGATAAGTGAACTAAACTGTCAAATGAGAAAACTCTCACCCCATCATAAGCAATCTGTAACTGCTGGCAGAGTTTCATTTCCCTTATGATGAAATTAAGACCAAACAGCCAGGCACACTGGCTCATGCCTATAATGTTAGTACTTTGGGAGGCCAAGACAGGAGGATTGCTTGAAGCCAGGAGTTTAAGACCAGCCTGGTCAACATAGTGAGATCCCTATCTCTACAAAAAATAAGAAATATTAGCCAGGCATGGTGGCGCACATTTGTAGGCCCTGCTACTCAGGAGGCTGAGGCAGGAGGATCCCTTGAGCCCAGGAGTTTGAGGACGCAGTGAGCTATGATTGTACCACTGCACTGCAGCCTGGGCAACAGAGTGAGACCCTGTCTCAAAAAAAAAAAAAAAAAAGAAAGAAATTAAGACTAAACAGTGTACACCTGTTGCTTGTCTTCACTGACGAGAAGACACATCTAATATTAGGTGGGATTTAAGAAGTGGGAAGGATAAGACACTGTTTCACTTAAATTTCATACTACAGTCTGTCTTTAGTTTCCATTCTTGTACTTTTTATTAGAGGAGAGAGCTTTAATTAAAGATATGCAACAGGCTGGTCCGAAGGTAGTGAGTTATCTCACTTGATTGTTCACAGTCAGTTACAGATTGAACTCCTTGTTCTACTACTTAACCCCCCTCCTCACTACTGCACTTGACTAGTCTTAAAAAAAAAATTTAAAAAAAAAGATATGCAACAAATAAAAATAAAATAACTTGTTTTCAATCAATTTATTATAAAACTAATATTCTTTAACTATGAAATTTCAAACAATTTTTTTTTTTAATTTTTTTTTTTTTTAGACACAGGGTCTTGTTCTTTTGTCCAGGCTAGAGTACAGTGGCCCAGTCATAGCTCATTGTAACCTGGATCTCCTAGGCTCAAGTGATCCTCCCACCTCAGCCTCCTGAGTAGCTGGATTACAGGCATTCACCACCACACACAGCTAATTTTTTTTTTTTAGTTTTTGCAGAGACAGGGTCTCACTATGTTGCTGGTCTTGAACTCCTGGTCTCAAACAATCCTCCTGCCTCAGCCTCCCAAAGTGCTAGGATTACGGGTGTGGGTTGCTGCACATGACCCTCAGACAATTTTAAAACACAAAATGGAGAAAGTAAAAGTTATCCATCATCCTATCCCCAAAGATACTTTATTTACTTTAAGAGTTTAGTATATGTTATTCAAAAAATATGCAAATAATTTTATATAAAATGAAATGTTATATGTAAATTTTACAAGTTGCTTTTTTCACTTCACAATATGTACTATCGATATCTTTTCATTTGAATTAACATTGATTTACCTTGTTCTTTTTAAAGGCTATATAGTATTCCACCATACAGATGTTTATTGAGTCCTCTTCATTGAGCCTGATTCCTCTTTAAAATTTAGCTACCTAAGTTTGAATAAGGTAAGATAAAGTCACGAGGCTGAGAGCTGACAGCATGACTCACTCAATCAAAGGTTAATCAAAGATGAAGGAAGACTAACTAAACATCACTTTAGGCTCTCAGTATTTGGCTATAAGCAGTATTTCTTTTTATTCAGTAGTTACATGGACCAGATTTTTCTCATTCCAAGTTTCAAAATGCCAAGTAATCAAATAATTTTGAGATTAAAATTACATGTGCATATTCTATTTGATTGTTCCATTTAGGCTATAATTCCTATCTGACAATAAACATCATATCAACACTGAACCTAAGTATGCCTGAAACAAGACCAACAGAATTCACAGAAAGCTTGAAGGGGCATCACTTTTATCTTTCAATCAATACACATGGTAAAATTGTCCAACTTAAAATACAGCTTGCCAGATAAGAATAAAAGATATTTACAATATTTAAATGAAAAACTTCTAGTTAACTGAGTCATATTTCCAAACATTTAAGTCATCACCTCTCCCAGTAAAATATTTTACTATTATACTGCCTTTAACAAATTCTATGAAACAGGAAGTGAAATAAGAATGTCTGCATATTGATATTAATAACCTATTCTAAGAATTATGGGCCTTTAATTTTGGAATGAAATCAAAGTACCTTACCCAAGCAGCTTATACCTTATACAGCGGACGACGCACATCGATGGGACAATTCTGTATTACTTCATCAACAACATCTGAGATAGATTCCATAAAGTCCGGGTTGGCAAACTGAATTGTATATAAATATAAAAGAAACATTACACATTTCTGTCATATAGAACAAAAGAAAAACTCTTTTTAAAAAGTAACTTTAACAAATACACAATTTACTATAACTTAAAACACTTCACATTGGACTGAAGAATGTATCAAATGAATCCGTGACTTTGTGTGCAGGGAGGAGTGAGGACGTATTTCTCAAGAGGTGAAAAGCGTGGGGTTTGATGAAGGAAAAATATTCAATAGTAACAAAGACAGACCATCCCCACATCATGAATACAATAGTGACTCATGCTAATAAGAGAAAGTAAAAAGCATGTGCACAATCTATGTAATGTGCAGTGAGAAACACACATATATATCATTTGTGAATATTAAGAAAAAATTAGCCATGTTCAACGAAAGATTAATTAAACCTGATCTAGATGATGGGGGGAGGGGTGGTTTATTTCATGGTGTGGCTTTAAAACAAAACAATCCACATGATAATATTGTTGACTAAACAGCCTTAATTTCAATTCCATAAGTTAAATAAGCTAATGTATAAATAATTCAACTCAATTACAATACATCTGAAATATATTTTAAAAATCAAGGAAAGCTTTAATGTGCAGTAATCTCAGAGGAAGAAGACTAATGTACCTACTGAATATAAACTGAATTAGGCAGGAAAATATACCAAAACACAGATAAAATGCATTATATGGAAAATTTAAAATGTTGCCTCTTAATTACTGCTCTCTACAAAAGTATTAATTCATTGTGACTACCAGTTAAAATGATAACACTTGTAATTGATAAATCTATCTAAATAATAGCAATGCTGGCCCTGGCACAGAAGCTTTACCTAACTTGCAGCAGGGAGCACAGCAGAACCAACCACCCAGGGTTGAGGCTGGGAATTAGGGAGGACAGTCACAAAAGATGGAAAGGTTATATATCGCCCCACTTTTGTGTAGAGGCGACCTACATACAGTCTTTGAGATTAACTTGTATTATTAGCATATGCCCTGCCCCACCCCTTTGAGATTACTTTCAATTCTGTTATCTTCCATTGTTCCTAAAACTTCTTCCTAACCACTGTGGTATATAATCCATCCCTATTAAAGCAGATAACCAAGTCTATGGATAGGAGACCAACGATCAATCCGGCAGACAAATTGCACAGGGGACCATCCCAGTCCGCAGAGAGATCTCTGAAAGACGCCCATGTGCTCACTGGACCTTCACTGAGAACTGCTCTTTATGCACACTGGGTGGCAGCATCACTCCATATATGCGCACACACTTCAATGCACGCAAAAAAAGAAACCTCTTACCTCTGGGTGAAAGAATATTTCAGGTCCTAGGAACCTTTCGTAACCAACATCTATAATGAACTTCTTCTGGTTGATCGCATTGATACCCGTATACTGTTTGATCCACTTCCGGGGATCGATGTCATACTTAGCAAACTCCTTGACTATATCAGGGCAAATGTAACAGTATTTCTCCTGCATACACACACAAAGACGTCGCCAGGCATTAACAACTGCCCAGTGTCTCTGCCCTCTGACAAATAACCAGGTACCCCATGCATTAAACACACCCCCAAAATCAATATGCCCATTCCATTACGCCAGTGTGGATGTGCTATCAAGCCTCATGTTCTATTGTCTTCATATGAGACATGACTACACTTGGACTTTGGACAGGTAAGTCTGCTTTCTCTGCAATTCAGCAATCGATCTCAGCCTTGGTCTATCAAATTTTGTTGCCGTATTATCTGAAATAATGTTTACAGATGTCTATAAAGTATCGGTATCTTGTCTCCATCTGGTCTTTCTTTGTTCCTCTCAGGTTCCAAATGTGGTGCCTGCCCTGTCAGCTTGCTGTTGTCCACCTCTGAACCACAGAGGTACATCTGTGTTGTAGTCTCATCTACTGAATGTGGTACTGTCTACACCCTAGCGCCTTACTGCGATGGCTTCTCTGGGTATCAGTACGCGGCAAGCCAAGTGTAGTATCTGGACACTAAATGAGTGGTCACTATCAACCTGCTGGTCATTAACCTGGGGTGGAGTCTGACACAGCACTGTATTATAAGTAATATAAAACTGGCTCCGCTGGTTTGCCTAGAGATAGTATGCCTTGTTGATGAGGTACTCTAAGTCACTCAATCAACACATGTTTATTGTTTACGCACTTGGGATACACAAGTAAACGAAGCACAGAGATCCCTGCCAAGATTATGTTCTAGCTGACAATCAGACAATAAGCAACTATGATAAGTAAATAACATGGTATGTTATAAGGTAATAGGTACCAAGGAAAAAGAAAAAGCAAAATCAGGTAGGAGGATTGGAGTTGCCATTACGTTGCTGCTGCAAGAGAACTTGCTCATGGTTTCTACCCGGCACCAGCAAACAGCCTGGGATGTGCAAAGTGTTTCCTGAGTATCTGGTGATAATTGATGTTCTTCGGGATCTTTGTGTTGATCATCTATCCTTAGAGCTACCCTCAGCAAAGCAGCAAATGACACCTGGGTACTAGCTTCGGAGCTCAGCACGTGGCACAGCATCACCACCCAGATGGTGCTCACTACACATTCAGGAAGGAATGGCTCTCAAGGACCTCCGAAGATGTTCTTGTGATGTTAAGTTCAAAGATTCTTAGAATTCCTGAAACGTTCTAATACCATCTTAAGGGTATCTTGGATGTACTCTAGCAGAACTCTAAGACTGATAGGCAAAAATGGCTACATAACCCTGTAACATTGATGGTTAAAGATGAGAGAGTAGGGCAGGTCATACAACTTTAAATTTACCAAGACTGGAGACAAAAATATTCAGTTGTTCCCAGAGGCCTGGTCAATGTCCATCTCAACTCACTTAACTCACAGCATGAAATGCTTCCGTAAAGGTGGGTGCAGAGTAGCAGTGCTAGTCTTTTTTTTTTTTTTTTTTTTTTTTGAGACAGAGTCTTGCTCTGTTGCCCGGGCTAGAGTGGGTGCCGTGGCGTCATCCTCGCTCACAGCAACCTCAAACTCCTGGGCTCAAGCAATTCTTCTGCCTCAGCCTCCTAAGTAGCTGGGACTACAGGCACGCGCCACCATGCCCGGCTAATTTTTTCTACATATGTATTTTTAGTTGTCCAGATAATTTCTTTCTATTTTTAGTAGAGATGGGGGTCTTGCTCTTGTTCACGCTGGTCTCGAACTCCTGACCTCGAGCAATTCTCCCTCCTCGGCCTCCCAGAGTGCTAGGATTACAGGCGTGAGCCACCACACCCGGCCAGCAGTGCTGGTCCTTAAGGTTCTGGATTCATGCCGCGAGGGTGACATGTGCACATTACACACCCCTCAGGCCTCCTCATGACCACAAGAGGTCACAGCAACAACAGGAGATGGGGAACTCTAAGCCACTCCTTCCAGGATCTCCTCCCTTAAAGAAAAACTGAGGTGAGAACAGGGCCACCCCATGCAACGGGGCCAGGGAAGCTGGTTTGGAGACCACAAAAGGAGTCTCTTTCACTCCCAGGCTTCACAGCTGAGTGATACACAGGCACATTGTGAGCGTGCCCCCTCCGACCTCAGTGTCAGAACTGGAAGCAGCCAGCCAGTGAGTAAAGTAAATGCCCGGTGTGAACCCCGTCGGCTGTGCTGCTCAGGAATCCTGACTGAAAAAGGGAAGACTCACCAAAGGGACCCCTGGGCATTAGTAACAAGATATTTGATTCTGATTTACATTTTTAACAGATTTGGGGTAGCAAGCAAGCTTAGATCAAATATCCAAATATTTCTTTCAGTGAAGAAGGTCAAAGGAGAAGGGAAAACCTTGGGGAATATTTTAGTCTAAAGAAACCAGTCTCATGACACCTCTGGAAACTGCCCCCCAGAGGGAAGGGACCAACTCTGCCCAACTTCACCATTTTGGCACTAAGAGCCCCCATCCCTGGAACCTCTAGTCCCAGGTAAAGCAGGACAGGTGGAATCCCACCTGCAGAGCCTGCCCCATACTGGTGCCTCCTGTCCTAAAAATACCTCTGTTTTTACCAAGTGTCACGCAGAACTTGGGAATCCTCTCTTCGTGCTTCCTTTCCTTCAGCCAGCCTCAGTTGTGAGGTGCTCAGAAGGGAGGAAAGCCGTAAGGAGAAGGGGGTGTCAGCCTCACTCCCCTCCCCGCAATGCTCTACATTCGAAAGTGGTGTGGTGTGTGGGAAGGACATGCTCAAGCCCACCTGCCATACCCCATACTTAAACTCTCCTCAAAAAACAACATCCTTCCCTCTTCATCTATATGTCATCCTTGGATTACTAAGAATTTCTTGCATTTTGACTAAAAAAAAAAAAAAAAACAAGAATTTCTAATTTTGCAACCTAAAAAGAAAAATTCCTTTAAATAGGGCAAGTCAACAGCCATGGACAGAGTAAACTAAACTGATAGATCACAACAAGTAGACATTGTAAATAAGAACCAATAAGCCATTTGTCTTCTAATCTGATTAAATTCTAAAATTTCCTGTAACTTTTCTGGCATAGTAACTGGAATCTAGAAAATACAGGTGAATTTTGTTTAATAATTTTGGATCCCAGAATGGCATTACTCTGCTGCTGTGGTTTGCCTCCTGATTCTAAAGTGAAGCATGGAGGGAGAGGAGGAAGGAACACTAGGTGAATTGAAAGTTTCTATTAACTGGGCTCCAATTAAATGATGTATTGCATACACCGGTGCTCAACACCAGTTATCCAGCTGCTCCCATTTACAGCTGGAACCTCAACGGAGTGTCGATGTTCATAAGAGGTTAAGTTTAAGTCTTCAGCCCACTTAACTCAAGTGGCAAACAAATCAGGATCCAAGCTCACGGGAAGGGGACAGGAAGGAAGGTATGAGCAGGATGATGGCACCAAAGGCAAACATCCAGAATACCATTTCTCTTTCACCCCCAAACCGGCCAGTTACCCATCTGTTTTTACCTTAATGGCTTTTGCGGTCTCCAGTGACTGCTCAGGAGGGATTCCCACCTCCCTCTCCCTTAGCAGCTGTTGAATGAAATACGTAATATCTCTACCTGCAATCGGGATGTGTTTGATGCAGCTTCCAATTACATAACCTTCCGCCTAGGGAAGAAGAGGAGGCAGAAGCCCATGTAAGTAATTCCACAGTGAAGAGCAACCTGAACTCGAAGTTTCCTGCCTCATCCTCCCTGTCTGCCCCTTCATGGCTCCAACAAGCAACTGAATCCCCATTCTGTGCAAGCTCTGTACAGGAGGTCTTTTAAAAGGACTGCATATGCAATTCCATTAATATTTAAAATTCTAAATTATTCAAAGAACCTCAGACTCTCCCAAAGCAACCAAAATGATGTTTTCATTAGGAATGTGAAAAGAAAAACCACATAGGATAGTTCAATTCCAAACAGTAATACCGCCTATGAGAACAGTAAATCCAGTAGGGTTTTTTTCTCTAGCAAAAAAGAAAGGGTTTTATCCGTAAGTTGTAAAGCCAGCTATAAATCTGCTTATGTTTAAAAGTCAGCAATTTGGTTAAGTACACAGGACTTAGACTCTAACAACCTGGATTCAAATCCCAATTCTACATTTATTAGCTTAGTGACCGTGGACAAGTTTAACATGTTTCATTCTTGGCACCTTCATCCATAATGTGGGGCAAAAAATACCCCACAGGGATTTACAATATAGTTTCAATGAAATCTTGTAAGTCAAGCACATAGCACTGTTTTGGGCATGTACTAGGTACTTAATAAATGTCCCATTTATTGTACTAAAATTTGTATTTGTTAGGAATGATTCTTAAACACTACGTCATTTGAAGAACAGTGCTGATCAGGAGTTTGGATTCTCTCACCCCACTGCCTTCCTCAGCCAGTGAGGGCATGTCCGTGAGGTGCCAAGAAAGGAACCGATAATGACTTGTCATCTGAGGCCAAGCACCAGCAGGGCTGATGCCAGGAGTCCACATGCCCACAGCAGCAATGGGCACCAGGCTCCCTCAACCACCCTCCTGCAGACATAGGCTTGTCACAGGACTATAGGCTTGGGAGCACGTCCTGCTGATGTTCAGAGTGGACGCCTATCGCAGTATCATCAGATAAAGAGACACGCTCAGGTTTTGCGTTATAGCACATTCCAGCTCCTGTGCTACCATACCCAAGGGAGACAGAGGGCAATGGAAGCGAAATGCTGACTTATTTTACAGATATATTCATTTTAATAATTACATGCACTAGATATAGTCACCAGTTCAGTTACAAGGACAACTTACGAATTCCTCTTATGGTATTTTTCCTGATGTACCTAACTTCTAGAAGCAAAAGAAGATTTGGCCTTTCTGCAGAGTCCAAGTATTAGTATAATATTTTAAGATGGAGATAAAAGATTTGTGTAAATTATTAAAATAGTAAAGATGAACTTAAACCCATAAAAATAGTATCAGCTTTCTAACACAAACTATTCACATTATATTCTTTGCATTACATATAACATCTGCTAAAATTAACTCAATCAGTGTTAAATAAGTATCAGCTCATCACACCACTAAAACATTAAACAAGCTACATGTCCAACAACAGGAAAATGAATAAGTGAATTATGCTATGCCCACACAAAAGGCTATTATATATCTATTAAATATTTGTTCAGACTATTTATTTAACTGTAAGAGAAAAAATTAGGGTTAAATTAATATACAAAAATATAACTCTAGGATTATACAATTAGAATCCAAAACCAGACATGGGATATTCCAGTTTTGTTTAAAATGTATACATGTGTGTGTACGTACGCAAGTTTGTGTCTAAGAAAAAGAGCTTGGAAGGCTGTACAAATCAAAGTGTAATGTGGTTCTCTGGGTGAGTTTATAGGTAATTTTATTTTCTTATTCATATTTTTCTATTTTATCCACATATTCAAAAAAATATATAATTTTTATAACTGGGAGAAAAATCTGAACTAAGATACAGTTAAAAATTTTGAAAAACAACTTTCTCTATGGACCTGAACACCATGTAAAATATGTTTTCTTTCCTTTTCCTAAATCAGATATATGAAATAGGCAAAGAACCACAGGGCAGCAGCCCCAGGAGCCACAGCACCTCATCTCTGAGAAAGCCAGAGGCCTGAGCTCTCAGTAAGCACCACAATCAGGGCACTAGCTTCTCAGCAGTCCACAGAAAGGAGCAATCTGAGGCTGGCTTGAAGGGGGCTCGAGCCTAGAGCACTGCACAGGGAGAGGCACCGACTCCTCCTCCCACACAAAGGACACACTGGCAGGGGGACAAGGCGGCAGGGAATTTGGCTTTTTTCTCTCTGACTGCAGGCACATCAGTCATTAAGCCTTTCCACTGCAGTAATTTCTGACCTTTAAGGAATTAAAAGCATTAGTATATTAGTACATCATTCCTTCATCTTCTTGAAATAAAATGGTGACTATTTTTTCAATTAAAGTAAATGGTTTTTAAAAATTCTAATTTGCATTTTTAAAAGTGTATATATACACACACCCATGTATGCAGAAAACATACTTGTAACATACATAAATAACTAGTTCCAGTGGTTACTGAGGAGGGGA